TGGTTGACAAAGTGAGTTCCAGGACAGTCAGGACTACACAGAGAAACCCTGTCTCGAAAAACCAAGAATGTGAAAACCCAAATCACAGTGAGATACCACTTCACACCCAAGGTGGCTATAATGTCTTAAGGGACTATACCAAGTATATATGAGAATGCAGAGACTGATGGGCATGGAAAATGGTTCAGTTGTGTAAAAACAAAAATCAGAGCCGGGAGGTGATGGCGCACACCTGCAATCCCAGCACTCGGGAGTCAGAAACCACTGTGTGGAGGCTTGCATTTTTTTTTATTCCTCTCTCATATATTACATCCTGACCACAGTTTCCCCTCCCTCCTCACCTCCCAGTCCCTCCCCCAGCTCCCCTCTCCCTCTCATTCTTAAAAAATTCATTTTATTATTTTTAGTTTTGTGTATGCATATACCTATATGTGAATGTGTTCATGTGGGTGCAAGTACCTATGAAAATCAGAAGTTGTTGGAGTCCCTGTAACTAGAGTTATAGGCAGCTGTGAGCCACCTGATGTGGGCGTTAGGAACCAAACTCCAGTCCTCTAGAAGAGCAGTCTGTGCTCTTAACTGCCATGCCATCTCTCCAGCGTCTGAAGACAGGTGTTCGAACAGAGACTCGTACGTGCCTGTTTGTGGCAGCACCATTAACAGTCATCAAAAGGTGGAAATAACTCAAGTGCCGCCGCCGTCGGATGAATATCTAAACAGAATGTGATATGGCCACGCAGCAGGATGCTACTCAGCCATAAAAATGGACGAAATACTGGCAGGTGTTGCCACATCGATGACATTTTAAATCATTCCTCTAACTGTAAGAGGTCAGCCAAGAGAGGCCCCAGCGATATGATTCCACCTAGATGAAATTTCCAGAACAGGCCAACACACAGACTGAGGGCTGGGATGGCAGAGGCGATGGGGACGGCCGCTCAATGACACGGAGCTCCTTTTTGGTTTAGGTGAAAACAGAACTGGGAAGTGGAGGTGATTCTTAAACACCAATGAGTGTGCCCAAAGCCTCTGGATGGGGCACTTTTAGAGGGTTAAATGCCTGATGTTATGAGATGCTTTTAAACTTTGATTTTAAAAGATACACAGAAATGCATCTATTATATGTTATAAACATAAATATAACTTCTTTATAAGTATATACCAGGAAATGTATCTATTTCCTTAGGCCACAGATTGCTGTTTATAAATGCCTGGGAACCATCCAAGCTAGGCGCAGCAGGGGTTAAAGGAGCAAACACTGATTGCCAAGGGAAAGTTTGGTTCCAAATGTCTCCATTTTCATGTGAGTGTGTCCATCTTTTTAACTTTTGTCTTTTCTTTATCAATTTTTAGGTTAGCATACAAAGTAATGAATGTTATTATGGCATTGTCGTACATGTGTATGCTCTAAGTTATCTAATTACTTTAATAGAAAAATGAAGTCAGTGTATGCTTGGCACAGAGGGATATATTTGAGGGCAAATTTCCTAAGAAATTTACTTTCACCTTTTGATGTTTCTGTATATCAAATTTTAGCAAAAGAAATACATCATATGTTTAATCAGAAAAAAATTAAGCAAGCAGAGGGGCAGAGAAATGGCTCTGTGAGTAAGAGTGCTTACTGGACAAGCCTGAAGACCTGAGTTCAGGTCCAAACACCCACATAACAAGCCGGGCTTGGCAGCATGGACTCCTGTAACCCCAGAACTGTGGGGGACAGATAGGACAGACAGCTGAGGCCTGCTGGCTACCTAGCTTAGCTTACAGGTTCAGTGAGAGACCCCACCTCAAGGGAATATGGTGGAGAGCGATACAGAAGGACATCCTACATCCTCCCTCCGGCCTCAGTGTATGTGTATGGGGAGGGAGCTATAATGAAACAGCAAACTTCATGGTCTATGACTACTTAGTACCAATCAGGGAGTTCTTACCACCTCTTGACTTAGTCCATTTTGTTATTACTGTAATAGAGGACCTGGAGGCAAGCACCTTTACAAAGAAAGAAGTTCACTTAACTCATAGTTACTGAGACTCAAGGGCCTGTCACCAGTGTTGGCTCAGGGTGGGTGGCATCTGAATGGTGGAGCTATGGGGAAGCCAGAGGGTAGTTCAGAAATCGGTTTCATTTTCAACAGCTTTGACTGGGGGTTTTCTGGACTCCATTTGTAGGGCAGCACCCCAATAATGAGGCCTCTCACTAAGACCTTACTTGTAGATGTCTCATCTCCCAGCAGAGCCATCTTAGGGACCAAGTTTACAAGACATGAACTTTCTAGAGGACAGAGCACACTCAAACCAGAGTCAGACCACGTACTCCCCAGCACGCCAGCTGCCACTGTGTAACTGAAAAATATGTGAGCATAAAAGGACAAACGGGGTTTTTTCAAGTTCATTTGGAAAGGCAGTGAAGCCAGGATACCATGGCAACCTCCCCCAAAGCCAGGATGGAGGGGGAGATGCATAAGGAAAATGGGGAGTGAAGTGGCATTTGGGTCACAACAACCTGGTCCAATGACTGAGTCTGGAAAGATGGTCATGTCCACAGCCCCCTCTGTGTGATCCGTCCTGGAGGAATGGACTTCTGATGTCAGCACTGGGGGTTCACCACAAAGACAAATGCCTGTGGGGTGACTGACAACCCAGCTAGAGAGCCATCAACAGGAGAAAGGTGAATTCTTTTTAGGACTTTGAACACGATGGGGAGAGTTTGCTTGGCTGGACCTGCAACACATCCAGATGGATAGCTCCATGCTGTGTATGAGGCAGTAGGAGCCTCAAATACACATAAACAGATGCTGTGGACTGTGTATGGTCCCACAGCCATCCACACCCAAAAACCTCCCACGTAGAAAAAGGAGCAATCACGCTGAAACCAGAATGGCCTCCCAAATCCCACAGGGTTTGTCGTCTCTATATTGATCCTTCTTTTGTCCCTGGGTCATTGGGCTCCAATCCCAATGCTGAGTCTTAGAAACACAGTACTTGGTGAGCTCCCAGGAGATCTGGCTGCACAATGGCATGCTCCCAGCGTGGAGGGACAGATTCAGGTTTTGTAGGGCTTGGAGCTTATAGCATTTAAAAGGTCAATTTTCAGAAAAGTACAAAGCACACAGAACTGCAGATACAAAGTCAAGTGAGCCTTTAGGGCAGGACGTCACAGCCAGTCACCAGCTTTTGAATGCTCATGATGTTTCATTACATTAACTGGCCCACCCCAGTAATACTTCCCTACACCTTAAGCTTTACTTACTTTGAGTACTCCTTCATACAATGATTTTATATCATTTTCTGAAAAAAATATTATTGACACTTGGGATGCTTAAATCGTGAGATGTTTTTCTTGCAAACCTACACATTGTTATTCTCCTGGGCTTGGCCCAGTAATCAGAGATTCTGAGAAACTCTCTTAAAAAGTGTGTGTGTGTGTGTGTGTGTGTGTGTGTGTGTGTGTGTGTGTGTGTGTGTGTGTGTTGCATGTATGTGCAGGTGGGGGGAGTTGCTCACCTTTGCTTGCACATGTGGCAGCCAGAGGTCAACTTCTTCAGAAGCCTTCCTTAGTTACCCTCCCAGCTTTTTTTTTTTTTTGGTTTTTTCGAGACAGGGTTTCTCTGTGTAGCTTTGCGCCTTTCCTGGAACTCGCTTTGGAGACCAGGCTGGCCTTGAACTCACAGAGATCCGCCTGGCTCTGCCTCCCGAGTGCTGGGATTAAAGGCGTGCGCCACCACTGCCCGGCTACCCTCCCAGCTTTTAAGACAGCCTCTCACTGAACTAGGAGCTCACCATTTTGGCTGCACTGACTGGCCAGTGAGCACCCCGGAGCCCCCTGTCTGTATCCGTTCTCCCAGGTATGTGGGTATGGGTGCACACCACCACGGCCAGCATTTTGCACGGGTGCAGAGGACCCACACTCAGGAGCTTAGACTTGCACAAGCGCTTTGCCCACTGATCTACATCTTCAGCTCCAATTCTGATAAATTCTATTTCAAAAAACCCCCATCAATAAAAGAAAAAAAGAATGACTAGAGATATAGCTCAGTCGTAGAGTGCTTTCCTAGCGTGTAGAAGGCTCGCGGTTTAATTCCCAGTTCTACATTTTAAAAAAAAAGTAGGTGGAGAAAAAAGAAAGGCAATGATCTATGTGTACACTTGTACCCCTGCATCACTAAGTATGTTTTCAACAACAAAGAACTTCAACTTTAGCCAAACATTGGTAAGGAGCTGGAGAGATGGCTCAGCAATTAAGAGCACTTACTGTTCTTGTAGAGGACACAGATTTGGTTCCCAGCACCCACACCGTAGCTCACAACCTTGTAACTCTAGTTTCAGGGGACCTGACGCCCTCTCCTGGCCTACACAGGCCCCTGCATGCATGTGGTACACTGACATTCACTCTGGCACACATATGTAAAAAATAAATCAATTTTTTTTTTTTGGTTTTTCGAGACAGGGTTTCTCTGTGTAGTTTTGGTGCCTGTCCTGGATCTCACTCTGTAGCCCAGGCTGGCCTTGAACTCACAGAGATCCTCCTGCCTCTGCCTCCCAAGTGCTAGGATTAAAGGCGTGCGCCACCACTACCAGGCAAAATAAATCAATTTTGAAATGTTGATGAAAATAGAATCTTCAGCTTGGGGAATCATGCAGCTGGCAGCTGGAAGGGTTTTCTCCAGTAGGTTTCTGGCTCTCTGTTTTCCAGACCTCACTTTTCCTTCACAATCCACATACTTTTGGTGCCAGGTTCTGTGGGACACATTGATGTCACAATAGCAGTACCTCTGTCCTTACATCTTCACGCTGTGACAAAGGGTGAACGAACACAGCAGATGCAGAATGACAGGAATAGCAGAAGTCCCTGCTCTCACAGGCAACTGTGACTCACACAGGGCTCTGCTCTTAATCTAAACCAGCCATGGCCCAGCTCAATTCACTGCATACTCAAAGAAGCTGTCTTTCCACACAAAGCCCGGCGAGACATGGCAGAGGAGCATAGGGAAGACAGGGCAGAGGCCCTCTCTCGTCAAAGCTAAGAGATTTGGACAAAAAGCCACATTTCTATTATTTCATGTCGCTTGGCACCCTCCCAGGAACCCTGACACTGAAGCCTGCCCAAACCCACAACGGCTCTGAGCAGCCTTAACTGAAGACCTTCCTACCTGCAAGAAAGTTCTATGGCTCTCCGCTGCTACCAGGGGGTAGAGATGAGTCTGAGAAGTAACTGGAAGCCACAGAAAACTGTATACCCCCAGGATGGGAGTACATGAATAAAGAGCTTGCCCAGTCCAGAAGGAGGCAAGGCTGTGGCTAAAAATGCAGGCAAACAGGGCCTGATGAGAAGGCTCCTGGCAGATGGGCGGAGTCCAATGATGGCATGTGACTAATAGTTGAGGGCGGGGCCAAAAACTAGGACAGCCTAAATGACAGATGAGTGGACTCTAAAGACCAAGGCCATGGACATACAAACTGTGAGTACAGCCCTTTCAGAAGAGACTTGCCTAGTGGATAAAGAGCAGTGTGTAAAAGTGAGTAGGGGTTGGCAATAAGATGAGTTGGGGTCTAGAGACAAGAGGGCAGGACAGCCCAAGCCAAGTCCCCTTTCCTCCCAAGCACCAGAAGTGGGATAGAAATGGCAGAGAGCCCCACTGAACATCTCCACATTCTTCCTCCCCTCCGATCAGTTAGAGAAGACAGCCATAAAGATTCAGTCATGGTGGCGTGGCAACATGGTCCGACGAACACTACTGCACGCAGCACTTGGAGCATGGGCCATCCAGTGCTGGTGGAGGTCAGTGCAAACCAAGATGTTGGAGCAAAGGCGGTGCTTGGCACTAAAACTCTACACCTGCCAGGAATGGGCAGTGGTGACGGTGCAGGCACATGTCCGCATGTGGCAGACCCGCAGACGATTCCTCCAGGCACGCCAAGCTGCCTGCATCATCCAGGCTCACTGGCGCTGGCATGCCAGCCAAACCCGAGGCATGATCCGGGGCCACTATGAGGTCAGAGCCAGCCAGCTGGAGCTTGACATCGAAATTCTTATGACCTAGGGTGCTGGCAAAGCCATGGGGGGCTGGATCTCCCTCCCAATAAAGACACTTACTGATCATACTCACCCTGTGGATATTGGACCCACAGAGGGAACTTAGCCTCTAACTTCCTTACTTTCCGTTCAGAAATATTCCCTGGTGTGGCATAGTGCCCTTGTCCTGAGACCCACCCTAGGCCCCTGTTCCCAATGTCATACTTAGCCAATCTTGCACAAAAGGGACTGAAGGGCTCAGGCCAGGTGTTGGCGCCTCCATCAGCTGGACTGAGGTCCCGCCAGCATGGGAACAGGCCTTGCCTTTTGCTCCTCTGCAACTGCTGCTGAAGCATCTCCATTCAGCTTAAAAGAGTCTGTCTGCAGCAGGGCCATCTGGGAAACCAGGGATTCCATATCCTGAACCACAGGGCCCTGAGGGCCAGCACAGGGCTTGGCAGGGAGCCAGGAGGACTGCACACCTCAGCGGAGCAGCAGCAGGGCACACATGTGTCCCGTGGGCTTGTGGGGAAAGCTGTGCTCCAGAGCCAGCCCCTGTGGATGGCCAGAGCTGAGTGGAGGGGCAGCAGCTGTGACTGCTGTCTCTGTCCCCTGAGGCTGAGCATCAAGGCTTCCCTCCCTCTGCTGGCCACTCCCTGGGAGAAGCAGGCATGGCTTGGGAGTGGAGAGGGGCAGCTGGGGTGGATACACAAGCAGGGTAGGACTGGAGGCCATGGGTTGGGGCTCACAGCCTCCCAATCCTACTGTCCTCAGAAGCAGCTGTGCTGATCCCTCCTCAGGCCTCTGCTGGGCCAGCCTCAGTGGCTGCTGCGGGAACTCGGCTTTGCTGGGTCTCTCACAGACTTGCCTCATCTCTCATCATTTCTGCCTTGTTTCTAAGCTTGAGGTGCCTCTCACCTGGATCCCTCAGGAGTCTGAACTTCCATTCTGAAAATCTAAGAAGCCTCAAATTTTCCTCTCCCTAGAGTCTGTGGGTGGTTGGCTCTGCATGGAGGGCAGGAGGAGCAGCGAGTAGGTGTGCAAAAGGCAGAGGTCTTCATGGAGTTGTTGCTGGAGAAGGTTTTCTCGAACCCCAACTCCTCCTCTGTGTGTGTGTGTGTGTGTGTGTGTGTGTGTGTGTGTGTGTGTGCATATGTGTAAGTGTGTGTGTGCATAGTGTAAGTGTGTGTGTGTGTGTGTGTGTGTGTGTGTGTGTGTGTGTGTGTGTGTGTGTGTGTGTAGTAGTTTCTGGAGTAGCAGAGGCCGCTGTGAGGGCTCAGAGTTCAGTTTGTTCTCACCACCGCCCATAGCTACAGATGACAGTGATGCCTTTGGGCATCTGACTTTCTGAATGGATGTTGTTCTTCCAAGGAACCCCTCTACAAACTCCAGATACAGCTCTCTTCCCACTTTCCATGAAATGAGTGAGGTGAGATGGGTAAGACATGAAACTGAGCATGAGGGAAGTCCTCCCAGACTGGCCGTGTTGTTGCCATCTCAACAGGGAGAAGTGTTTACAACCTGGGCTGGCAAGGGTTGAAGACTCTGATCCTCCTTCTGATAGAACATTAGCCTCTCCTAAGCCGTTGAAAAATATCATCCAGCCAGAGATTCTCCTTTTGAGTGTGCTGGTGTGAGGTCAGCATCAAGAGTCCTGCGTGTGCCAAGTAGTGGTGGCACACACTTTTAATCCCAGCACTTGGGAGGCAGAGGTAGGCAGATCTCTGTGAGTACAAGGCCAGCCTGGTCTACAAAGTGAGTTCCAGGGCAGCCAGGGCTACACAGAGAAACCCTGTCTTGAAAAACCAAAAAAACAAAAAAACAAAAAAATCCAATGTGTGGTCACAACTGAGACCTGCCAAGGTAAATGCTTTTCAATGAGCCTCTGTAATCTTACCTGGAGACGGCCATGTAGAATTCCAACCTGAACCAAGAAGGTTCAAGGTCATCAAAGCTTTGTGCTCTCCAATGACCCGAGAGTGCACAGTGAAGTGCGGCTCAGAAAGACACAGCCCTTCCTGGTCCCTGAGCGGCGGGTATAGGAAGAGCTTTGGAGGGGGGAAGTAGACAGGGTCTCTTGTCCCACCAGGTATGTAGCCGGAAGATGAGACCATACAGGTCCAAACAATGGAGACTCAAAGCTGGACCCAGAAGGATGAAGATCCACGGTGTGGCGTCCGTCCTGCCAGTAGTCTGGGGTCCTGCGAAACCAAGGACGATCTGGAGCTATAGGGGTGCATTAGAGAGAGCTCCAAGGAAGAGGAAGTGAGCAGGTGGGCAGTGAGGAGAGATGCTCCCTTTGGCAGTCGGACCTGTGGCCAGTGTCAGCCTTTCAGATGAGCCCTTTTCCTCAGCAGGGAAGAGGTTACAGGTGAAACCGTTAAAGGCAGACCCCACAGGCCCCTGCTGTTCCTCACCATTGCTCAGAACCAAGCTGCATAACGAACTCTTGAGAATATATCCACTGAAATACTCAGTATGGGAAGGGGCACGCTTGCAGCTTCAGGGCAGGGGTGGGTCCTAGTGCACTCTGGGAGGACCTGGAACTTCACTCTTGCTACTTCCCCTGGTGACGTATGCATTACCAGGAGCTGTGTGCCCCAGACTGTTCTCCTATTAATAAAGAGATGTATTAACCCTCGGACTGGCTCAGACTACATAGGATTCTTAAGTATCCAGTACATTACAGGCCCATCATGCAATGACTCCCCAGATGGCATCTAGTCTCCTTGTCCCCAAAGTCTTACCCTGTGCTCTCAAAGCTCCTCACTTAATAAATCACCAAACAGCTCAGATCACACAGCTCCAAGGTCCCTATCCTGTCATATCTTCTGCTTTTCTGTGTCACGCATACAAATCCAAGATGAGGTGGCCACAGGCACTGCCATGTCATCATAGGTACATTGACTGGATAGAACACAATCCCCGTCCACATCCCATCAGGGTAGAAATGACGCCTGGCATCCAGGAAGGAGTCTTTGGTCAGGGTTAGGTACATAGTTTAGCTGGTAAGCATAGGCTACCATGCACAACGCCCTGGGTTTGATCTCCAGTGCTACAAAAGCTGGGCATGGGAGCATGTGCCTGGAATCCCAGCACTCTGAGGTGGAGGAAGGAAGATCGGAAGTTCAAGGACAGGCACAGCTACAAAGCAGATTCTGGGATATATATTCTGGATATATATATCTATAGATAGATAGATAGATAGATAGATAGATAGATAGATAGATAGATAGATAGATAGATAGATATCGCCTTAAGCAAAAAAGTCTGATTAGCTTTGCTTCTGAAAATTGAGTTTGATGGAAAGTCTAGAAGCAAATGTCTGGTGTATAGAGGAGCTGGAGCGTATTGAAAGGGAGGAAGGTTTCTGGTCACTGCCAAAGCTGCGATATGTGAATTCACGTGACAATAAAAGACTTAGCCTAGAATTTGACACTAAAGAGAATGAGAGTTAAAGGGATACTAGTAGATATGTTGGGGAAACTGAGACTTCTGATCAAAAGGAAGTTCTCGTAGTTGGAGTACAGAGGATGACCGGAGGAAGAAGGTAAGAAGACCAGAGAAAGAACGTTGTGGTCACATAGGGAGAGACAAAATCCCAACCACAAGACAGAGCATGAGGAAACTGAGCTATTGCTACAGCCCCGCCTGCGCCTCCCTCCGTCCTGTAGGTCACCCCAATGGGAGATGGGTGTAGTCTGGGGATTGTGTGCCTCAGAGGTCGCAAGGTGCCCAGGTGCTGTGTCTGGGAGCTGCCCTCATGAACCCAGAACCCTCCTCCATTACGGGACTGCCAAGATTCCTGGGCTCCCAAGACATGAGAGAAAAGAATTTGTGGTTAAAAGAGGCCTGAGATGTGGCCAAGAAGCTAAGGAGAATATGAAAATCTCACCGCCTGAGGCCATGAGCAATATAGAAAGTGGGGTTAAGTGGGAGGCACCAGGAGTTTCACCTGTCGGGAGTGGGCAGCATCCAGGAGAGATGCAGGGCCAACTGTGAGGACCACCCAGGAAGGGGCCATATGGATGTGATGATTGGTGTGTCAACTCAACTGGATTTAGAACCGCCTAGGAGACACATCTCTGGATGTGTCTGCCAGTATTCCCAAGGAGGTTTGACTGAACATAGGCAGGGCCATCCCAGGAGCTGAGATTGTGGACTAAATCAAAAGGAGGAAGCGAGCATCAGGGCTCATCTCCCTCTGCTTCCTGACTGAAGATGCATGTGACCAGACACATCGCTCCCACTACTGTGCCTTTCCCACCGTGACGACTGTATCCTCTGACTGAAATAAACAAAATAAACACCCTCAAGTGGCTATGTCAGGCATTTCATCACAAAAAAAAAACAAGAAAAATGACTAACACGTGGGGTGTGAGGTAAACACACTTGGCCATGAGTTGGTTGTTGTTAAAGCTGGGGGATGACTTCTCACCCCATGTCTGAAGAGTTTAAAGCTTCCACAGTAAAAACTTGTGATAAGCAGTTAAGAATAGAAACCCCCCAAATCGTTGACTTGTTTTCTGAAACGAAACAGAAACTTGTTTTCCCGTCTGAAAATGAAGGGCAGCCACGGGAAGTCCAAAGTGTAGCCGCCACATCTGTCCTCAGCAGAGTGGTCCCATTCCATCCTTGTGCCCGTGGTTCTTCTAGGGTAAATTCAGGCCCTCTTGCTGTCAAGATGACTCATAGTCCCAGCCCCCATGTGACACTTGAGAAGAAGAAGAGCAAAAAAGAGAAACTGCTCATGTCCACTGAGTTAATTCCTTTAAAGACCTTACCTAAAAGACACACATGCCCAGTATCCACTTACTCATTGGCCAGAACTGTTCCATGACCCTCCCAGCTGTGAAGACCATAATTGCCACCATGACTGAATCTGGCCATAGAGTAACAGGCTAGATTCTACTGGGACACATCTTGCAGATCTCAGCCGCTTAACGGAGCACATTTCCCCTCACACACAGCCTGCTGGGTGGACTTCCGGCAGCATGTCTCCTCCATGTGTGTGTTTGGTCTTCCTGG